ACACACACAGACAGGCACACACATCAATCTCACAGCAGGGGGGGCGGTGGCCTGAATGAGTTGATGGACCATTGGCCTCAGCTCCCTCTGCCTATTCAGTCACACACAAACATATACACACACCAACATACACATGTATATACAATGAGGTTAAACAGGCAGTGAGGGACATCGTAAAGGTCAGCTGAGACAAGTTGTCATAGCGACAGACATGGCTGTGGCTGGACCCTGTGTGGTCGGACGTAAGGATTTCTACTTCACAGTGTTTTACTGAGTGGCTCTTCTGTTTCGATGGTCTTGGCTGTACTTAATAACCACAAATGTATACCAGACTCTGAGCGCAGATGCTGACCCGTTGAATGTAACCAGCAGCTTCGTTGGGTGGGAAGCTGGTGAGGGATCTGCTCAGTGTTGCTCCACCAGTGACTCTTGCTGGTCATCTACAGCTCAAGTGTACTGGCAGGGCTGCGATGCGTTCCAGCCGCAGCACTTTGGATAGAAGCCATGTCAAGCAGCACAGAGCAGATAGAGCAGACCGGAACTCAGACACAGAAAGAGCACAGATAAACCGGTCCATTTTTAAACTAAAACAACCTGTGCCGACTCCCGAACGTAAAAACAGAACAAAAATGGACACTTCGTAGCCTACTTACCCAATGGTAGAAACACATATCAAAAAATAATGTCCAAATCAACTAAATCTGAGCAAAGGTGAAGCTCCTGGTGGGGCTTGAAGCTGAGTGGAGGAAGGACCAAGCAGCGCCACAGAGCCTTGCCTGGTGGAATCAAAGCATTGCTCCTTCCGGAGTCACTGGTGCAGCAGGGGGATAGCATGGACCTCCTGATGAAGCTGATCACTGACAGATGAAAGAAGCAGGTGGTCCATCAAAGGGAGCACATGGCTGTCTGCAGCCTCCTCCAGACCAGACTGAAAGCTAACAGCAACACGGCCAGAGCGCAGGGGAAAGTGGACATTAAAGGAAAAAGTAACAACTGTAGTACCTGAGTGAGTCGTGGCTGAAACTAATCCACCTACTTATCATTATCATACACTGAGGTGTGGGGAAAATACAGGCAGAGAGTTACAAAGGTGGCCACACCTGCAAGGCCCTGTGTTGTCTCCTGTTCACTCTAGTTAATCAGACATTGATTGCTTTCTGACTCTTTTGGCACATGTAGTGTGTGTTTACATTCAAACCAAATTAACTGTGATTCAGGAGGCAATCCATAAGTTTGAACTGATATCAGACGTTAAAGGTTATATTTCTAAATCTATATTTGAGATTTAGAACTTTAATATAGCAGCAATCAGCAATTAACTATGTAAGGATATAGTAGAGTCATGGTGTTCTCAGCAGGAGTCAGTGGAGTCTGGTGGCAGTCAGGTGTCCATCCATGTGTTTAATGTGTTGCAACAATGCTCAGTGGGAACAGCAAAGGAAGGGAGTATAGCCAATGTAATGTATTAGCCTGGTTAATTAACGGTCAGTAAAATGACAGTTTTTGTCAATGGAGTCTGGTAGCGAGCAATAATAAGGTTGTTTCTGGTTAAACAAAAGCTCTGTCTCTGTAGAGATCCTTTCTATGATGCTGTCAGACCCTTGGAATAACAATCTGAGCCTGTCAGTGGCAAAAACAACAACTTTTAATTGACGTACTGTAGTGACGGTTGCATATCCCCAAGGATTACGTGTAAGTGTAGCCATAGCAACCTGTTTCACAGCTTTTTTAATTTCTTTTCTAACTGTGAATCAAGGATTTATTTTGATGATTTTATTTTGTTTCTGTCCAGTTTGAATTGTGTTTTACAATTATCTACGAGGTAAAATGGAGTCTGGTGGGCTGTATGTGTTTTGGTATGAGATACTGGTGCTCTAGTGTGACATCTAGTAGCAGTGGATTTCATATAAAAAACTTTTAAGTAGTGTGTGCTTTTTTTCAACCCGTGGAAATACTGAACATGGTTTGCTTTTGTTGTTGTTGTCATTCACCTTTACTTCTATCTCATCTTAACTAGTGCCTAAACGGGTGTTTCTGAGTCAAACACACACAGGGATACGGAACATAAGAGTCCAAGCAGCTGACTGACAGACAGGGATGAGAGGAATTGATGCTCCCCTTCACTCTGGATTCATTCTCTCTCTC